GCCAGAAGAATACACGAGTCTGAGCAAAGTCCTTCGAGACACTTTAACCAGGTCATTTTGGTTGTTCAAGGGGTCTTTAATTATTCGCTTGAGGAAGTACTCGTGGCAACGCCTTCCTTTCTAGAAGCAGTCGCAAAACTTGTCAAAATCTTTGCAGCCATGAGTTCTCAATCCAGAGAAGAAGCAGCTTTATGCCAAGGCTGTTTCAGATATCCGTACTTCGGACCATGCCGAGACGTGAGACGCGTGAGCCCAGCGATTCGCCTCTGAAAGCCCATTTCAGCCGCTTGATTGAAGTTCTTCTGTTGGCCCCAACGATTCGTGGCAAGAGATGAATATGCGGGATGAAGATCAGATTGAACATAGACTTTAGTCTTCAAACTCAGCTCCGCTTCAACCACAACGGTTAAAGCTAGTTCACGAAGAACAACACCGGCTACTACAGTCGTTGATCGATCTCTTCCTCAAATTTTCCAACACCTCTAAACACGACACCTAGGTATTTCCCCACCTGCTCCAGTGTCTCGCCGTTAATCTGAAGAGAGCAACGGGCAGGAGAACGAGAATTTTAGTCACGTGGCACTCGGCTGCGAATTTTTTCAGGAAATCAGTTTCAGAAGATGCCAATTAAACAAGGCCATCTAGAAGCAGCAACCTCTTCGTCTCCACATTTCCTACGCCGATACACTCATCGCCTTTGCTACTCTAGACTATTCTGTCCATTTGCAACACAAATAGGACAGGAACGCAGCCCTGAGGGAGACCAGTGCCAACTCTGAAATATCTCGAGTTAACGCCGTTTACTTTGACAGGGCACCTGCCATCTGCATACAGTGACTGGATGGCTCGTAGCAACTGGTCATTAATCCCATACGTTTGCAAACACGTCAACAGCTTGCTGAACGAGTTGCGGTCGAAGGATTTCTCCAGGTCAACAAGGGACATGCAAACCAGATGAGCGAATCCGTACTATTTCACAGCAATCTGGCGTAGGGCGAGGACTTGTCAGATGTGCTTCGGCCTAATCTGGCGCCACACTGATCTTCCTGGACTTTACAGCCAACTAATTTGCGTCATCCTTTTTAATACCTTCTTTCTGGAACTAATAGTTCTCCAGTAGTCTCTACGAAGATCCGTAGGGATGCTCAATAATTGGAGCGCTGGTCATTGCTTTGTTTCTTGAATATGGGCACTAAGCTTCCGTTTTTAAGTCTATTAGCATCTTTTCCGTAGTCACTGTAGTTTTACAAATATGTTTCAGCCAAAACATAATTTGTTCACCTATACGTTCGGCATGCCAGGACGGATTTCATCGACTCCAGCAGCTCTGCCACTTTTCAAGCATTTTACAGCTTCTATGACTTTATCTAATGAAAGCCTAATAGTCATTGCCTGCTGCTGTTTAGGTGGTTGTCCAGAGTTAAGGAGTTTCTCAAAGCACTGTCTCCACCCATCAAATACGTTCGCCGCGGAGGTTCGCCAGAGTACCTTGTTTGTCATCTATGCATCTCGCCGAACTTTTCCCAGGAACCAGCTTTCGCGCTTTGGCTGCCATCTTGCACGTCTCTTCGCACTGCTTCCCTTCTGAAGATATTTTAGTTCCAAACCATCTCACCATCTCTCAAATGCAACTTTTTCTCCTTACAGCTAGTTGAACCTCTTCTGTACGCCAGAATGTTCGTTATTGGCCCACAGGCGGCTGGTGAGGCAGGTTTATAAACGCAACATTCAGCGACAACCTCAAATAAGGAGCTTCAAATCGGTTTCCGCATCGGCGAAAATCCCTGAGATCTGTTGAAACTGTCATGAGAGTCTGCAAGCGATGTCCTCGTATCCATAGAAGATAATGATTCGCATTTGATTCCCTTGTTGCTTCTGCTGTCAGGTCTTCGCAGGGTATGCATTATTTGCAGTGGAGGGTGCCAACAAGAAGATGATGATCAGTTGGCAGCTCGGCGCCTGTCTTAACGTGAGCATTCATTACAGAGCGTCATAAGTCA